GTAGAAGAGCAGAATGCAGGACCTTACCCAGAGAAACAGTGATGCCAGAGAAGGAGGCAGAGATGATGATGTGGAGAGAGGGAACGGCTGGGAATTGTAGACCCAGAAAGGTAGAGGGGCTGTGTGCTGGCAACCAGAAGGAAGGCTTGTGGGGTATACCCTTTGGTTGGCTGATGATGCATGGAGGGGATTATAACCATAGCAATGAAATGATGTACAATAGGATGAATGTAAAGCTAATGCTCTCCCATGTAAACTATCACATAATTAACAATAAAACATTAAAAAAAAAAAACAGAGTTGAGCTAAGAACAATACTTGCCATAGTCTAGGTAGTCCCAGACTTATAAGGTATTCAATTTATGACAAACCAGTACCTACAACTGTCCTTCTTTTAAAAACAACAAAAAACATTACTAATATATACTGGAGTCCTGGGTGTGGTGCATACGATAAATATTGGACTGCTAATCTCAAGATCAGTGGTTCAAACCCACTAGCTGCTCCTTGGAAACCCTATACTGACTGGATTTCTGTAAGTCAAAACCAACTCCATGGCACTAAATAACAAGTAAGATAACCTCATACAAGGGAGCACAGTGGCTCCATAGGAGAAGTAATTGGATTGTGAACCACAAGGTCGGTGGTTTGGACCTACCAGTCATTCCTCAGGAGACATATGAGACTTTCTGCTCCAGCAAAGATTTAAAGTCTCAGAAACCCTATACAGGGTTGCTAATAGCTGAAATGGACTTCATAGCACTTAACATTAACAACAAGTACAACAAGTATTAAAATATATTTTTAAGTTTATATATAATCTTTCCAATCTCCAATGACAAATAAAGATCAGATTTATTAAAATAATGATAATAAAAGTCATTAATAATAAAAGCTAGAGAAAAAAAATGAGGAATTCGACTACGTCAGATCCGGGTAAGAGTCATCAGAACTGAACCCCTCATAAGTCAGGGGCCACCTGTATTCTAACTGGCTTAAAAATTATTTGGGTAATATTTGATTTCTCTTTCCAAAATAGTTGTAACATTGACTCTGGATTAACTCACTGGTTCTTTTCTATAACCCAGTAGTAACATAAGTACCACTATCCCTAGCCCATTCCAACCAGCATTCTGAATCCTTATTTCAAAGAGAAAAATTGTGCTTGTTGATTTATGCTAACTAAGAGTCACAGAGTACCTAAAGTTCTAGGTTCTATGTTACTAAAATAAATATGACATGGATGGTATAGTGTCTGCTTTCAAAGAGCTCACACAGCCCTGTGAAAAAGAAGTATGCACAGGCCTAGTTCAAAGGCTGACGTAAGGAAATAAGCTGACAGACAACCAGGAAGAAGGGCTCTGGCAGTTGGGTAAGGTATGGAAGTGAGAAATAACATAAACACAAGGTGAGATCTAAGAGTACAAAACATCACATTTAGTTTACTCAGGCAATTCTATGCAATTTGGTATAACTTCAGTAAGCTATTTGTATGCTATGCTACAGAGTTCTCACTTTATCTTGTAGGTGATGGAAACAAGCAGATAAAGAAAAGCAGTATATGTTTACTGACTGGTTCTATAAGATAGCAGGTGAGGCCAGACTTAATAGAATCCAATAAACAAAATTATAGAGAACGGATAACCAATCTGTGGTATGTACAGTAATAGTAGCGAACTACTGATACACTCACAACATGGATTAACCGCAAAACACTGTTACATGAAAAGCACCAGACACAAACGAGGGCATGCTATATAAAATGCTGTCATAATTCTTGGTCTGATTTTCCAATTTCTTCTTTCATCCATAGTTTTCACTCAAAGAAATATGTAAGAAGTTTATATATATATATGTTTTGGTGTTTTTTTTTTTTCATTTTTCTTAGATCAACTATCAACACTCACAGAACCAGCAGTCAAAAAAAAAAAAAAAAAATCAAGCAATGTATTGCACTAGGCAAATCTGCTGCACAAGACCTTTTTTAAAGTGTTGAAGAGCAAAGATGTCAGCTTTAGGACTAAGGTGTGCCTAACGCAAGTCATGGCATTTTCAATAACCTCATATGGATGCGAACGCTGGACAGTGAATACGAAAGACGGTAGAAGAACTGATGCTTCTGAGTTATGGTGTTGGAGGAGAATATTGAAAATGCCATGGCTGCCAAAAGAACCAATAGATCCATTTTGGAAGAAGTGCAGCCAGAGTGCTCCTTGAAGGCCAAGATGACCAAACTTCATCTCTCATACTTCAGACATACTGTCAGGAGGAACCAGTCACTGGAGAAGGATATCATGTTTGGTAAGGTGAAGGGTCAGAGAAAAAGAGGAAGACACCCAGCAAGATGGACTGGCCAAGTGGCAGCATCGATGGACTCAAGCATGGCAACAATAGTGAGGTTGGCCCAGGATCAGGCAGTGTTTCGTTCTGCTGTGCATAAGGTCACTATGGGTCGGTACCAATTCGATGGCACCTAACAACAACAACAACAGACACACACACACAAGTCTATGTATATATAAGTTTTAAAACAGGAAAAGTTATATTGATAGTATTCAGAAGGACGTTCACTTCAAGGAGAAAGAAAATTGTATTAGTAAAGGAAGAAGAACTTGCTGGGATTATAACAATGTTGTGTTATATGTTGATTTGAATGACAGCTACAAGTGTGAATGTATGTGCTGAAAAGTCATTCAGCTTTACACTTAAAACTTCACATAATTTATCATATGTAAATTTAGAACCAGAATGCTCCTCAGAGCAAGGATGGCAAGACTTGAGATTGCTTACTTTGAACAGGTCATAAGGAACGACCAATCACTAAAAAGACATGTTGGGTAGAAGATCGGCAAAAACAAAATCATTTAATGAGATAGACTGACACAAGTGCAGCAATAACGGATTCAAACATACCAATGATCATAAAGATAACAAAGGACTAGGAAACCCTTCATTCTGGTATACATACATAAAGTCACCATGAATCAGTGCTGACTTGAAAGCAACTAGCAATGACAAAAATTAAACATCAAAACAAAGCAAAACCCCTATCTATTCAACTAGCTAATCAACTGTAAGACATTAAAGTTCAAAAGCCTGGCTTCTTCTCTCCTTTAGGAAGATACAAGTGTTCATTATCATCATTACTATGAAAATAAAGTATGGACAGCTCACCACAAGGCTGGCGGTTCAAACCCACCAGCAGCTCTTCGGAAATCCTAAACAGGGTTGTTATGAGTCAGCACTGACTCAACAGGACTTAACAACAAACAAAAAGTTAACACTTTTCTATACAACAATACCTACCTCATATAGCACACTTTGTTGTTAAGTACCACCGAGTCGGTTCCAACTCAGTGACCCTGTTTAGGATTTCCGAGGAGCAGCTGGTGGGTTTGAACTGCCAACCTTGTAGTTAGCAATCCAGTGACTGTCATTCAGTACCACACTAGATCTCCATACAGCGGATTAATAAAGTACATGAAGTACTAACACAATTCAGAGCACAGTTAATTTTAAGTACTCTCCAAATGGTTATTACTACTCCTGCTACTACTACTTCTCGTACTTCTTTAAAGAGCCTATGTTAAAGTGCTCATTTGCTAACCAAAATGTTGGTGGTTCGAATTCACTAGCAGCTCCACAGGGGGAAAATAATCTGATGAATTGTTCACATAAAGATTATAGCCTAGAGAGCCCTAAGGCACAGTTCTACACGGTCCTACTGGGTCACTGGACAAGAAATAACAAAGAGTACTTCTTTACATAACAGCAACAAAAGGGGGAGCTTTGCTTCAAAGTAAACCTAAATCACTTACTGAGAATGCAAACATTTTTGGCAGCTGAAATATCTGGCTGGATTCCAGAAATACCAAATTAACTGCAATTTTATCTAAGTATCTACTTTAATCAATTATAAAACCCTTAAGCCATGTTCTCTTACCAATAAATAGTAAATGTGCTTTAACATTTCAAAAATAGCTTTCATTATTAAAGAGCCCTGGTGTGGCACTGTAGGATAAGCACTAAACTGATAGCCACAAAGTCACCAATTCAAACCTACCAGCCACTCTTGGAAACCCTATACAAGGTGAGTCAGAACCCATGCGATGGCACATAACAACGTTATTTACGTATCAAACCAAAAGATGCTGTTGTTAAGTGTTCTGACTCATAGCAACGCTGTACACAAGGAGCAGATGGTGAGTTTGAACTGCCGACCTTACAGTTCAAACTGACCTTGTGATCTAGTGCATTATCCCACAGTGCCACACCAGGACTGGACAGACCAAAAGTATGTGACCATAATTCAATTTTCTCAAAGACAACTGTCATGCAAATTAATGCTCATTAGAACATTACATTAGGGAAACCAAGCAGCAACCATGCCCACAAGAAAAACATTAACGCATGCTTTTACAATTCTGAACACTCTTTCAACAAAAAGAAGTCAAACTTTGGCAAAGCTAATCTACTACTGGAAGTGCTTTGTCAGTATACTACTCATGTACTATGATCCACTAAGGAGAGAACACAGAAGCAATCAAGCAAATCTCTTGACTGGTTTCTGGGTGGTTGGTTAAACCAAACAACACCTTAATATTCTAACATGTTAGAATACTCACTGAAAATGTGTATACTTCAGTGAACCTCAACATACATGAAGGAAAACTAAGAAGAGTCTCATAATTTGATAGCTGGTATGGCACTGTGGGCTAATGCTCTGGACTGCAAAGTCAGTTTGAACTACAAGCCGCTCCTCAGAAACCCTATACAGGGTAACTATGGGTCGGAACCAACTCGACGGCACTTAATTTCTACTGCCACCAAGTATGTCAAAATGTTCTTTGTACTTTAAATTTTATTTTAAAAACTCATTGGTGTAGGCTTGAAGACATTAAAGTACACACACATATATATACATATATATATATACACACATAAAGTTTGTATTTTCCTACTTTAATACATAACACTGAATGAACTAATCTTAGACTTACCTAGGTTTTGTTTTATTAACATCTCGCTGCAAGAATAACCTCATCCGAAATTAAATCAAACCTGCAAAAATAATACATGTAAAGAACATCATTTAATTTTTGTTTCAGGTATAAATAACTACACATCTATGATACAATACTCTTTCAATTAATAACTAAATTAAATCACTTTCTAGATACAAAATCTATCAGAAAAAAGGTACAACTAAAATATAATGTTAGCATCAGAACGTATAGCTAAGCACTTTTTTTTTTTTTTTTGAGGAAAACTAATCTATCAAATAAGAAGCAAATATTCTAATTCTCTTTATAAGAAATTTACATTAATTTGTTTCATTACTTTAATAGTATGGCAATATCAATGACTGAAATCACTATTTGTTTAAAAAAAAAAAAAAAAAAAAACACACTTTTTTCTAGGCCAGTGTTTAATATTATATATGGGGAAAAGTCAAAAATTATCTGTACTATGGCTGTACAATTTATTTTAATCAACTTTTAGAAAAGACAAATACACTGTTTTTCAACTTAATCTTCTTGCTTTTAAATACACTTTGTCCCTCTGTCAACAAACTTCCGTTTTCCCTCATTAAAAAATATCTTAGGCTAAGTTGCAAGCTACAAATGCACCTCTGTCTTCACTTCTTTATCAAATGTGAATCTTTATCCTCAAAGCACTGCTTTCAGGGGCCCAAACAGCTGCAAGTCTGATGGAACAAGATCAGGAGTATAGAGGATGTTTTAACACCTGAACAAACTTCTGCAGTGTCAACAATGTGGGCAGAGGTGTGCAGACATGCATTGTCATGAAAGATCACAATGCCCTTGGAGGCTAGCAGTCCTCTTTGTCTAACCCCACTATTAGGCTTCAGCTGGTCAGCGAGCATCTCACTGTTATGAGCACTGTTGATTGTTGAACCTTTTTCCTTACAGTGTTCCAATACTGGCCTTTCAGAATCCCAGAAAACTGTAAGCATCAGTTTTCCAACTAATGGTTGACTTTTTCAACTTTCTTTTGGTTGACTACTGAGGATATTTCCATTCCATACTCTGCCATCTATCTACTTTCAGGTTCATAGTGAAGAATCCAGGTCTTGCTACCAGTAATGATTTTTTTTTTCAAGCAAACTTATCTTCCTTCGAGTATTGGGTAAAATTTTGTTTGAAGGTGTCCAAACACTTCTGTTTATGCTCTTCGATGAATTGTTTAGGTACCCATCTCATACAAACTTTTCAAAACCCAAATCATTCGTGGGTTATTTCATTGGCAGAGCCATGGCTGATTTGCAAATTATTTGCCACTGTCACTTGTCTATTCAACAGAATTATTTCACATGCAGGCTCAAAGTTTTCATCAACCATGGATGTGGAAGGACATTTGATACATCTGAGTGCAAATAATTTTGACTTACCCTCATACATAAGAAATATGCCAAAAGACTAAAATACAGTACAAGATCTACAGTACAGCACATTCTAATTATTATCTACTAATAATTACAGCTAGCATTTATTGAACCAAACTCACTGCCATCATGTGGATTGTGAGTCATATTGACCCTATACAACAGTATAGAACTGCTCCATAGGGTTTCCGAAGTTGTAAATCATTACAGAAGCAGACTGCCTCATTTTTCTTCTCCCAAGGAATGGCTGATAGGTTCGAACACTGACCTTTAGGTTAGCAGCCCAAATTTTAACCTACACCACCACCAAGGTTCTTTAACGTTACGTTCTCAATAAACACTAACTGAAAAAAGAAAACACAACAGTTGCCGTCCAGACAATTCCAACTCAGAGTGACATTGCAGAAGAGAGTAGAACTGCCCTCAAAAGGTTTCTATGACTTTATAAAAGCATATTCCCATTATGCAATTAGGGTTACTCTTAACGTCAGGCACTGTTGCCCTACAGAATAGCATACATGCTTTCTCAATTGGATCCTAAACAACGAATCCACTGATTATGCACTACCAAAAATCTATCTTGTGAAATGTGGTATGTCCTATCCTTCCCCACTACAGGAAACATGAAAATTCCATATTCTCAGGGGGGTAGAGGTTGGCACCATTAGCTCCTTTACATTGTGTAATTTGTGTAATTCTGTCCTCTTTCCTATTATCTTCTGCATTTTCACCTAGATTATTGCAACTATTCTAATTCCACTCATTGTTATCTCAAATTTGTCCTTCCCATACCTATATGTTGTTGCTGCTGTTGTTAAAGGCCATGGAGTCAGTTCTGACTCATAGGGACCCTGTATAGGGTTTCTGAGGAGTAGGCAGTAAGTTTGAACCCTTGACCTTGCAGTTCATAGCAACCTTTCAGTTCAGTGCTTATCCTACAGTGCCACACCAAAACCATTTTATAATAATTTTCCTGAAATGTCACATATGTTCAAATTCTTCAATACTATTCATTAACTTGAGAATAAAATAAAAATTCCTTAGCAGAGAGCTATTTAACAAGACACTCTACAATTTCAGTGGTGATGTAGGATCAGCACTGGACTGCTAACCACAAGACTGGTGGTTCAAAGCTACCAGCAGCTCCTTGGAAACCCTATACAGGGTCGCTATGAGTCAGAACTGACTCAAAGGAACATAATGACAACAATGTCCAACCACCCACCACACACCTGGTCAGTATGTCGTACTGTGGTGGCTTGCATGTTGCTGTAATGATGGAAACTATACTACCGATATTATAAATACCAGCAGGGTACACCCAAGGTTTCAGCTGAGCTTCTAGACTACGACAGACTAGGAAGATTTCTGAATGTTTAGCCACTGAAAACCTTATGAATAACAGTGGAACACTGTGAGGTATTGCCAGAATATTGAAACATAATGAATAGCAACAAAATATTGTCAAATATAGTGTGGGGAGATGCACTCCTCAGGTTGGATGGCACTCAAAATATGACTGGGGAAGAGCTACCTCCTCAAAGTATAGTTGACTGTGATGATGCAAATGGAGCAAAGCTATCAGGACCTTCATTTGCTGATGTAGCACAACTCAAAATGAAGAGGAACAGCTGGTAAGCATCTATTTGGAACATAGAATGTACAAAGTATGAATCTAGGAGAAGTTAAAGTTGTCAAAAATGAAATGGAATGCATAAGAGAATAATATCCTAGATGTTAAATGCTGTCAAGTTGACACATCAGGACTTCTATATTGTAACTTTCTTGAATTTTTAGTTTTCAAACTAAACCTAACAGAAAAAAAAACTTGGCTTTCATGTCTAAAAAGAAAAAGCATGTATACCACAATTAAGAGTCCTGATGGCACTATGGGTAAACGTTCAGGCCAATGGTTCAAACCCATCAGTCACTTCTCAGGAGAAAGATGACACTATAGGCTCCCTCAAAAATGTACAATCTCAGAAACCCTGTATAAGGTCATTGAGTCAGAATCAACTTCATGGCAATGAGTTTTTGTACTTCATATAAGTGTTAATGATTTATATAAAAGCTGTGCCTATGGACTTCCAGCAAGACGGCAGATCAAGCAGACACAGTACATGGCCCGCTACAATAAAGATATGAGAGAGACAAATGAAACAGACAACAGATGAAAATTCTGGAACCCTAAACTTCAAAGTAAAGGTTAGAGAAGTGTACTGAGTGCTTGTTGGGAGGTGATATTAAGCAGGGATAGCAAGAGAAGGAGACTGGTAACTGACTGGCCAGACACGGCATGACCATCTTAAAATTTTGTGAGCAGCTTTGGCAGTCAAAGGTACCCTGGCAAAGCAGATTCACACAGGCGATGGAAAAGGTACAAATCCTTATTTTTCCCCACACTCCTCTAGAGATCAGAGGTGTGGTCAGCTCCCACCCTCACACACTCCTAATGTAGACTCTGCTCTCCAAGAATTTGGAGCCACATGGTCAGGAGTCATGCCAGTGTGAGGCAAGGGCCTGCTGTGCCACTTTGGTATGTTGATTTGGTGCCTGGATTCAGGTAAGACTAGGCTCCAAACCTACAGAACCCCCAGAGTCATCACACCATCATTTAACCAGTCTTCCAGCCTCCAGCTGCCCTGTGGCCCTAGCATACACTAAAACCAGCTGCATCAAAGACAACCAGCAAGTACTTCCGGAATGAGCATCCTGAACATAGATAACACGGAGGCTGATACGCATTCCAGCTAGGGCCAGGAAGTCCAATGTCACAATCTTCCCACAACCACCTTGTGAGCTCCTTGGCTTACAGTAGCTTCCTAGTATATTCTCTTCTACAGGTCCAACAGATACACTGTTTAGGGTTTTTGTTTTGTTTTGTTTTTTCCCTTTTGTTGTTTCACTGTTTTTGTTTACTCTTTCACCTCCTTCTCTTTCCATTCCCCTGAATTTTATCTCTACTTTTTTCTTTCTTTTCTTCTGTTTCAAATTCCCTCCATATACACATGCACATGCACACACACACCACACAGCTCCTTTGGATCTTTCTTGACTGGTTTTTCCAAGTGCTCTTTAAATTTCTTCATTTAATTTCCTCTCTTACTTTTCTCTATTGCTCCATTTTCCCTGTCCTCCTTTACTCTTTTTAGTAATTTGTGTTTCATCGTTTTAACTTTTATTTTTATTCTTCTCTTCTATATAGCTCCATTTCTCTATCCCTCTATTGTCTTTATACATATTTTTCCCCCCATTGGCTTGCTGCCTATTTTTATTTGTGCTTTCTCATTGTTTTCTCTTTTAATAGATGGTTCCTTCTTTGTTTATTTTTATTTTTATTTTTTTCTTGTGTGGGTGGAGGAGAGAGATTTTCTCTTTCCACCACACAGAAGACAGTAACTGCCCATCCAGCTCAGCAACAACCATACCCTCCGCAGCTCTACACACTGGGCAAGAGCCAATATCAGCTCCTATACCACCTGATCAAAGATACACACACAGTAGCTGACACCAATCACACCCTAAACTGAAGTAAACAACTAGAAAACAAGAATGATGTACACACTTCCATTCTGTAACTACGCTTACAGGACACAACTGATGAGAGCCTGAGATCACATCAAAATACAATCATCGGGAGAACAATCAGACAGGT